ATTTGGTTTCAAATTTTTGTTTATTTGGAAAGTTAGTGCTAGTTGGGATAATAAGCGCCTGTTTTGTTTGCTTTTTTTTCTTTTAATATCCAGTATTTAGTCTGAGGCAGGCTAGTTGGCTCAAATGCAGAATTGTCGTTCTATACTTAACATTGTGAGTGAAAAAAGATTTTTAAAAGTTCTTTTTTCAATTTTTGAAACTTTTGAAAGTTTTGGTTTAAAAAATATCACTCACCGTGAAAATTGTTTGTCATTATGAGGCCAAACTGAGCACTTCGTCAATTGTAAACGGTTTCCGAAACAGGCCAAATTTAGGTTTGTCAGGGAATCCTGAAGTTTGCTATTTTTCCTTGATCTTCTTTGCTGTTTTGGATTCCACGGAAAATTAGCTAGAACACTGTATTGCTCAAAATCGCTCCAAAAACAGGCATTTTTACGGAATCCGCAACAAAAAATGTGGAATCTGCATCAAATATTGCCCAAAAAGTTCGTGGAATCCATACTAAATAAAAATATATGTGTTTAGTAAACCTAAACTGTCGTGGAATCCGCAACTGTAAATGCAATCAGCAAATTTTGAGCGAATTCCGCATAAATTTGCGGAATCTACTTACATCTGCGGAATCCAGAACAACTACCTATATTCGCTCGTTTCCGAACCCGCAAAAAAACTATTGTGCCGACAAAACTTACCTTACAGTTTTTTGTACGCGGAACCAGCGGAAGTTTTGTGAGTGCAATCTACTTACATTTTGGAACATGTTTAAAGATTTTTCTCTCTAATTCAAAAACGTACAGACACAAAATTGTGCGCCTATCTAGTGCACAGTTTGGCTTTTGTGCGCCTATCCAGTGCACAGTTTGGCGCACAGACACAAATTGGTGCACCTATCCAGTGCACAGTAATGATAATCAAGCAATGCTTGGAGTAGTTGGCGGCTTCAGAATTGTTTTCATAAAAAAACGGCGGCGGGAGAATTATCGTATAAAAACTTTGTTTATGTAATTTTTATTTTCAAATTTTGGGAAAATTTTTTTAAAAGTGCAGTCAAAACTGCTATTTAAAAATGTTAAAAATTGTCACTGTCGAAATTATTGAGTGATGAAATTTACATTGCGCACAATTTCTTGGTGAAAGCCAAATCTGAAACTAAAAAAACCGTTATTAATTTTTTTGACTTTTTCTCTGATTAAAAGATTGGTGACTCATTTTTAGCAAATCCCTTCTTGGGGAACCAAATTGGGGCGAATTTGAGATTTTTTCAAAAAATTCGAATTTTTCACATCAAAGAAACAAAAGAACTGAACAAAATGTTAAGAACTGTGTTAAGAACTTCATCCTCAGTTTTTTTAACTTCAATTTAATTTTAAAATTTTCCGTGAAAAGTTTTAGATCAGCGAAACGCCATTCACATCGTAGAAAGTTCACTCGCAAAGAAAAATCGATTGCAAATTCATGACGAAAGTTTTTGACAAAATCATGACAATTTGAAAGAAAACACGTCGGAGTGCTTCTAGACAAACTGATGACCGCATCATCTGCTTTTTAAAGTGTCTGAAGTTTATAAACGTTTGCAAACTTTCTTTGAAAAAATGAAAATAACTAGTAATAAAAAACTAGTATTTAATCACAAAATTGACCAAAATAATGGATGAAAAATTTCATATTCGGGAATAGTTTTTTTGAGGTTTTTTGAGTGCTCTGAAATGAAAACTTAAGAACAAAAAAGATATTTTACTGTTAGGCACATTTTCTTATCTTTATTCTGAAATTTCATCAAAGTGACTTGAATGAAATTCAGGTTGTGCCTCGAAACAAACATTCGTGTTTACTCTGATTTGTTGTTAGTTTCGACAGAAAATTACTGGCAGAAAAACATGATTACAACTGCTAATGATTCAAACGGCTAGTGTTGCATTTGATTAATGTTTCAGAACACAAACCTGGCTCGCGTTTGCCACAAATCAAAACAACTAAGTTGAAAATGTCAAATGTCATTTTTGGAGACCAAGAACCTCGTACCAAATGTATTAAAAGTAAGGAAAAGAATTAGACTTTGGAAAGTAAGCCTTGTTTAGAACCAAATCAGCATTCTTCTCCTTTTAAGAAACCGTTTAAGGAGAGAAGAAGAGGGGTGGGGAGTTGACTTCTTCTGTTTTAGATCAGTTTCAGTCCAAATTAAAAAGCAGAGTGGAAGATTTTAATTATGTTGTAATGGGAAATGGGGAGTGTTAACTTGGTCCGTACATACTATCCCTCCTGACAAACAAAGTGAAATATGGCCGGATTGTAAGGCGCTTTGAAAATTGATTAAACTAGATTTTTCCCGGCGACAGAAAAACTACAACATTGTGCTAGGTTGAAGGATAACCCTGATGACGCGCTGCTGAATTGTCATCCGCTTTACTTCAGACTAAAAAGTGTTCAGTTTCTCTTCGATTTTTCAATAATATATAAAAACTTCAATTACAGCCTATCCAAAACAAACAAGACTGCTCGTATCAGGGCGAAGCCCTGAATGTTCCGACCGCCTTTTAAGGTTTTATGGAGCAGTAATAACATTAAAGAATTAAATGTAATTAAATGATATGAAATTTTTTTTCTAAAATTTGAAATTTTTTTTGAAATCATCCCCCCACACGCCATTTAAAGTGCAAAAAGATAGATTTAGCTCCTTGTAACAAATCAATTATGGCAAATAAGCTTCTTTCAACCAATTTGGAACGATTTTAAGACGGATTAACTCTCCGCTTACGCGTTAAAAGCGCGAAATTATCGCGCGTTAATTGTCCCAAACTGGCCAAAATGGCTATCTTTAAACCCCCATAACTTTACCAAAAATGATCACAGGTAAAATATCTTTTCAAATTTAAGCTCAAGACAACAATACCTTTCGAATGATAGAAAAAAATTCCGTCAAAAATGGCTAGTTAAAAAGTCGAAATTTGTCTGAAGAAAAAAAAAACCCACCCCGAGCACAAATATTCCGTTACTTTCGTATCGAAAGTCGGAACAATAAAATTGATCAAAATATAATTTGAATAAAATTGATGGTTTACTTTGATTGCTCAGATTGACTCTTTGGAACGATCAAAACCCAATGTACCAGTTTTTTCAAAGTGTATGACTATCGTTTTGGGTAAAAATTATTGTTAGTACGATAATTGATTTTTTGGTAAAACCAATAGCTTAGACTTTATTATTTGACTTTAAATTGAGCCGTTTTCTATGTAGGGATCCGCGATTATTTATGTACATATATACATAGAAAAATAGATTTATAGATCGGTAGACAGGGGTTGATTGAGGGGGAGATGGATGCACCCCTTCATTCCTCAGGGAATCGACCATTTCATCAACTAAAATATACAATCTGTATATCGACTATAAATCTATTTAGAAGAATATATATTCTAGAACTCAGAAAACAAATTCATTGAAAATGTGAGCTCCGTACAGATCCGTAACAGTAGCGAATTTATAGGGAATGGTTCTTACTTTTTCAGGGTTTTGTACGGTTCACCGATAACTTGCCTTAAAAAGGCATTTCGAAACAAAAGACAACTCGGCATTATTGAAGGATAGCACCAATTTGCAAGTTTTGAAAAACAATTTGAAACTTCAAAATTTTGGTTGCAATTCCCCAGTTCTAAGTTTTGTTTTAGATTTTACATTCTATTGGCAAGCTCACAATAAATTGGCGCGCCTGCGACGGTGACACTACTGCGAGTTGCATTTTAATGCCAGTTGTTCATTGTTGCAAGTTGTCTTTGGTGCGCAAGTAGAAACGAATACTATGTAAAATTCAGGCCCTTACAGTCGTGAGCGAACCACTTTGAAAGATTTAACAGTGTCGAGAAAAACCGGTTAAAAACTTGTGGTTTTTCGTCTTAATTTGAGCGAATCAAGCGATAGACCAGGCATACCTTAGCTTATTTTAATGGCTCAAAAGCTTACAACAGCTTAATTTAAAATGTAAGAATTTAGTTTTGATGGAGTGACGTCAGTTTTTTTGAGAATTTTAGAGTTTTTTAAGTCTGATCTAAACATGCTGCGCTATTTGCACAGTAACTGGCAATTATGTTTTTTTGTAACTTTTTAAAAAGTGAAAAAGATTTGTGGAAAAATTGCAAAAAAACTTAAGTCCAAAACCCATCTCAATTTTTTTTCTGTTTTGCAGAACGATTTTTGAAAATAAAAAATTAGGAAGTTAACCAAATTTAAATGAAAACAAAAAGGACTACTTAGACTTAATAGGACAGCATGTGTGCGAGTTGTCTTGTTAGCTTTAAGTAGTCCTTACTACTTGCTTATCAAGCAAAATGAATTAACTTCCCAATTTTTTGTCTACATAACTGAATCTGTAAAAAAAATATATTTTTTGAGTTGGATTTTGGATTTTACTTATTTTGAAAACTTTTCGCAATTTATTTTTTGTCAAATTACAATGAAATTAAGTTTTTCGTTTTTTTAAAAATGTTTTATAAGGAGGTAATTAATTAGGCTAAAAAATTAAAATAATGAGAAGTATTGCCAAATAACGTAAGAATTGTAGCAGATTTGATTTGGGTATCATCAGTTGGGATTCAGTGTCATCATCAATTTTCGTGTGATTTAGACTGAAAACCAAAACTCTCAAACCATTTTATCTCGTCACACATATAATTTCTTAAATTTTTTTTGCAAATTCGAATTGCGGCTGAAAAAATTCGAATATGATGCCACAATTGGACTCCTAGGAGTTTTCTTTGAGGAAAACAAGGGCATGAAAAAAACTTATTCTACGTCATTGTTCCTTCTCACTCGTGAAGTGGTCGGAAAACTTATCGATATGATAGTATTCATAAAAAGAAACAAAAAGTTTGAGCAAAAGTTTGATGTCATGTTAATTTCATGAAATCTCTGATGAAGACGAAATTTTTCAAATCCCTTTTTTTTCAATTCTCTAGTTTTTCGTTTCGTCGTTTAAAAATCGTGTATATCATAGTATTTTTTTTAGTTCAACGAAAAGGACCAAAGATTTTCGATGCTAGATGTGCAACTAGCCGAATCAGACGAGACTGTGCACTTGGCAGTTATCTCGGACGGCTTCAGATCAAATCAGCACTTTGTTACTCTTCTCAAGTCAATTTTGTTCAACCAGCAGAACAGACTCACAGAGCCGAAAGACTTCCAATTACATCTGCATGTGTTCACACTGTGGAGTGAGGATACTCTTGAGAAAATTCTGCTAAGTTGGAATTTGCCTGGAGTTGCATGGGATATATACAATCTGAGGGAACACGTGGACGAAGTGGATTGGATTCCGAACAAACATCACTCTGGCGTTCTTGGACTTAGGTTTATTTTTTAGCCATTTTTTGTCCGTTTTCAAATAAAGACCATTTTGATACGCAAAAAACTAGGCTGTTTATCCTTCCCCACTTCCCAAAAGCATCAATTTTACGGTGTAACGAGAAATTTTACTAGTTCAATTGGACAATGTTTTAGTAACAGAAACAAGGGTTTCGTCAAACAGCGTGTCCCACTTTTCTTAGTACCTTTAACTTAGGGGCATAAGTATCACCTTATATCATAGTTCCTTTCAATCTGCCTTAGAGTTAAACGAATAAGTTATTGAAACATTTAAATTAAGATGAACGGATATCTAGACATGAATGAGTGTAAAAAGTTGAAAAACTACTTACTAAATACCACTAACTAGTGGATTTCTTTCGCCTCAAATAATAATTCAACTTAACACTTAACAAGAATGCGAATTGTCAACTATCTCAAATCTGGAAACTTTAAAGTAAGTAAAGGGTTTGTTAGAAAGAAAGATTTATTGTCTAAAAGCGGAAAGAAGAGAGTAAGTTTTCCTAATAACTATAAAAAAAGAAATACAAAAACAAGATTTTAATGTAAAAATAAAAAAGGTATAAAGAAAACCACGGTAACGGGCACAACTTAGATATACTTAAATCAATTCAAAAAGATGATGTAAACACTCAACACAACTTTTTTTATTAAATGCGCTGAACTGAAAGTTCTTATGAGTCCAAAGTTTCCTGTTGTGCTTATTCAGAGATAAATGGAACCTGATCTAAACTACATTTTAAGATTGGATAAATTAGATATTTTACCAATGTAAAGTATTTAATATTAACCAATCATGATCCATCTAACTAACAACCCACTTATTTGTAAGTGCTGAAGTTACTTGTAATTTCAGCACCAGAGAGATTTGAATTTAACTTAGAAATTAGTTGGACTCTCCCGAGCACTTCAGCAGCCGCAATAAACCAGTATACCCTAGATCTATTGAGCCTAGCAGAGACTAGTTAAACAACCTGAGACTAGATAGTATAAGAGTAAGATTAGGATCGGTATTAGACTAAGAAGTTGCACGAATCTATCCGGCCGAAAATAAGATAGCGTGACGAGCAGACGGTGTACCCTATCCGAAATTACTCTATGAGTTAACCAACTCGGTCCTAACTCATCTGGTGCGACCATAAGTCTCGAACAAGACCTTAATAGCTTAGAATTAACCAAAATAGATTAGAAATTAGACAAAAACATTTACAAAATGTTATACGACAATAATTTAATCGAAATGTCTCTACGACTCAATAGATCAGAGCCAATATTCCGAACCATAACAGAACTACCCGGAATTGGAAGAAAACCTCGAACCAGAGACGACATACGACAAAGTAGAAACTTGCCATATAGCTATATGATAGTTAGGCAAAAACCAGAACAAACTTTTATATTTAGAATACTACTGGCAATGAATTTAGATTTTCATTTACAAACATAAAACCTTGAAGTTAATCTTCAAAATCATTTCAGGCGCTAAACAAAATTATTAATATACAATAACGATTGATAAAAAGATCTAAGATCGTTTTCCTAAAACTCTGCAGTAATATACAAAACATGTTTGAAAAATATTTATTGAAAAATAAAAAATAAAAATTAGTAGCATGACAATAAATGGTTAATAATCATAAATCATCCTGTTGTTCCAGCTCCATCACCTAAAACATAACAGCAATCATAAACCCACTAATATCATCAAAACACTAAATCTTTCCTTTACACACATTTAAAAATTTATTAAAACTTAAATTCACTTAATTTTAAAACCAGATCATCAAGGCTTATCCTTGGATCTTAAATCATTTTCTACTTAATTAAATTTCAAATTTGATCATCAAGGCTTATCCTTGGATCAAACAGAACAACTTTGTTCTCCCCCACCCACTTAATTAGTGTCTAACGACCTCAAAGTTTGATTCACTACCCAACCCTTTCTAAAGACCCAAGACTAATAGAAATTTTTAAACAAAACTAATCATTCAAATTAGGATAAACAGTGAAGAACTTCGGTTATTCATCCTTCACTTGACCCCCCCTCTTACCAGACCCAGGATAAATCTTAGACTTAGTAAGTTTAAAATAGTATCTAACGAACTACTCGCGTTCTAATTATACCTGAACCTTGTGGATCGATTTACTATTCTCCAACCCTTGAACACAATCACTACCCCTAAGTAAGATTAAGTAAGTTAACACCTTAACTTATACTAGCCACGAGAAAGTAAAAAATCATTCTTCGGAATCGATATACTTTTCTCTCCAACCCTGAACAAATAGACCCAGGTTAAGCTAACCAAAAAATCGTAAGAACTAACAGTTTAGGAAAATAGAAATCATTTAACAACCTTTTGCATCCGTCATCCTAAACCTTATGTCATTTAAAAACCTAGGAAATAAACAAACAATCGTTTTACACAATTGTGAAATAGATAACAAAAAATACGACCTTGTAATCACACCTCATACACAAACAGTTGGATACATTCGAACAAAACGACAAACACTAAAAAGAAAAATAATAACGAAACAAAGACAAATAACACGAAAAAGATTTTCAAAAAATCGAAACGCATTTTCAGAATCAGAAACCAACAGTTTAGACGAACTTTACAAACTAAAAGAATCAATAGATAAAAATTGCCCACTTCACGATCAATTATATTTTTCTGACTCAGAAACAACTTCAAATTCATCAAAAAGAGGAAAAAGAAGAATAAAAAAGCAGTATAAACACAAACCAGTACATTTATACAATTGGAATCAACCAATTAGACACATTGATAATTACATATTAACAGTCATCGAACGAAAAAATGAGCTCAACGCACACCCCAGGTGAAGAAAGTCCAGATGATGATGAAATCTTTCCTTTTATAGTAGATGCAACCACTGATAGAGGACAGCATATATTTTGCAAAAATTTACTATTAAATTTATTTGAACCCGGAATCAGTCCATGTAAAACAGAGTTCCCCGATGTAAAAATCAAAAGACAAATCATAGACCACTACTTAAAAGATATATGCAACATAACACAACAGTATGGAATCTACTCCATAGAATTCACCTCACCAAACCATAATAATAGAAAATATACAATTCAAACAGACGATCTTGATTTAGAATTTTCAAAAGTTTTTTCAGAATATATAAAAAGCATCCAATATCATAACTCACAAAGAGCAAACTCCATATTCACCAATGAAGTTTTCGCAATAATATATAGTTATATTTCGATATTAGAAAACGAAATCCCAATAACAAATGTCTCACCGACAGAAACATCTAAACATTTAAGAGTACGACATGAAATCACACTACTCTCTAGTTATTTAAACATCATTAAAGAAAATTTCACGAAAGACGACGTTTCACAACATACAAAACACGATCTACAAAAAATTTTGGCATGGTTCATAATAGATTATTTCACACACAATATTGATTTAATTGCACAAGCAAGAAAAAATTTTAGACCCCAAAACTCGAACGATGATACCGCTATCACAGAACAATCAGATTATGTTTGGGACCCCGAATGGTCTCATCCCGCATTTATAAGCTTCCCACAATCAATCTCAAGTCAAGCAATAAGTACGATATCTTACATAAGAGATTATGTAAAAGTAATACCATTAACCATTGATGCAACACCATTAAACTATAATACATTTTTACCCGATACACAAAATAATAGTTTAAACTCTACAGTTATACACAATGAAAACCTCAATGGAACTAGGAATCTTACTCAACAAGATATCCAGACACCATCACACTTCATAAATGAAGAAATTGTACACACAACAACTACACAACAAAGTATTTCACCAATACGCCCAAATTTAACAACACCAAGAAATACAAATCCTTCACAAACACAGGTAACCTTACAATCAACCGTTAAACCTTCGGTTGCCCCTAAATATTCACATATGGATTACCAAACATACAGACCCATGACAATACCATCAAAAACACGCAAAACATTCACTAGAAACAACTTTACAGACCATAATTATAATTATACACATCCATCAAAAACATATAACCAACCACAAAGAAATTTTAACCAATATACAAGATCTCGAAATTGGGATAACCCAATGACCCAACCTAATTCAATAAATTTCCAAACAAATCCTCCACAGGATCACAGTGAAAATTACCCATTTTTTCAACAAAATAAAAATAAAAAACAGACATCTTATCAAATGGATTATTTATCCTCAGATGATGATTTCTTACAACCAGATATATTTGCACCAAATACTCAAGAATATCGTAGACAAGGAATACAGAGAACACGTACAAATCATAGAAATTTTTCTCCACAACCAATAGATGCACAACATCAACAACCAATTCAACAACAAAATCTAATTAATACACAATCTTTTCAACCAATTCAACAACAAAATCCAATGACTGCACACTCGTATCAACCATCACAAATGCAAAATGAAATACCACTCCCATATTATCTCCAACAACATGAAATAACAAGAAACCAACTTTCAAATTTTTCTCAAATGCCAAATGCAGCAGAATCATTACAAATGACAATGAATCCATACCTTATGGGTGGATCATCAATAACATCAAACAAACCTTTAATGGTTTTCACAGGAACAGACCCTGAATACTCTGTAGAAGATTATTTAAATGCAGTAACAGCAAACCTGATTTTAAATATTGGACCTGAACCAATAAATACGCCACTACATCAAAATTGGATACATCGACGCACAGCGTTAATACAAACAACCTTAGATGGCGCAGCCCAAAAATGGTTTTCAGTACTACCTCTAGAAATAAAATCAAATTGGAAAAGATTTACACAAGAATTTTCAAAAATGTTTGACTCCGAAAGAAACAAACAACAACAAAGAGTTTTATGTAATGAAATTCGCAGATTACCAAACGAAACCATCAAGCAAATAGCAGTACGAATCGAAACACTAGTTCGAAAAGCA